TGGGTATTTGACATTCTGCGTACACCACAGTACAACCCTGCTGCAGCTTCAGTCGAAGGGAGCGATGGCAATGTCAATATTCAAAACGTGAAAGAGGTTGTATTCTCTGCGGGGTGTGGTCTCATAAACACCATGTGCACGTAGATGTGATCGGATAGCACGGCTGTCTCTTTTGGAATTATTAAGGTTTTGTCCAGCTCTTCTTGCCGGTACGTGTATATGACATTTACCGACACTTCCGTTGACAGTTTAGTGTCCTATGCCTCCATGTATGTGTGTATATGTAGTGCACGAGACGTCTGACACACGTTTCGGCCAGGGCGGACTCTGGCCTGACTGTCTCGTATATTAAAAAATGTAGTTTCCATTACCTAGCGTAAGGAATGGTACCCAGGAGATATCATATACGTCATCACCTACATGAAATACGCATGATCAGGATGGTAGATGTTGTCACTGAGAAGGGTCGGCTCTAGCTAGATTGCCTTGGAATACCGTAGCCGCCAGATATCTTTGGCCCCTTGTCCCCTGGAGTCTCTTTCTTCTTCCTACACCCCTCGAAGCCGGAGCAGACTTCTCGAAATCAGGCCAGATTGTCTAAATAACCGAGTCATTATTGCCATGATGCCTCCCGGCTCTCAAAACATGGATTTCAAATGTGCACTCGTCACAGGTGGCGGCGGCGGCATCGGCAAGGCAATGTCACAGTACTTTATTTCTCAGGGCAAACAAGTCATCATCGCCGGGCGTACCGAGTCCAACCTGAAAGCCACGGCAAAGGAGATTGGGGTCACGGCATATTATGTTCTGGACACGGGCCGCGTCGCCGATATCCAGTCGTTTGTGGGCAAGATCACCAAGGAGCATCCCGAGATCGATTGCTTGGTGAACAACGCCGGGGTCCAGCGGCCGCTGGAGGTACTGAAGCAGGATCCAGACGAGTTTCTCCAAAAAGCCGACCAGGAGATTGATATCAACATCCGCGGGCCCATGCATTTAGCATTGGCATTCCTAAAACACTTCAAAGCAAAGGAGCATTCGATGATCATCAATGTTTCGAGTGTCCTGGGTTTTGTGCCATTCTCCGTGATCAACCCTGTCTACAATGGCACAAAGGCCTGGCTGCATTTCTGGAGCTTAGCGATCAGGTGAGTAGGCAAGCCAGAACTTTCATCTCTATTCTGCATAGTATTGTCCAGAACAGACGATCATGGAAGCTGTCTGACTGAGCGACTGACTGACAATTGAGCAGGACACAACTCCGGGGTACGAGCGTGCGCATCGTTGAGATTGCACCGCCAGCAGTTGGGACCGACTGTAAGCAAGATTCATAGCATTGTGTTATGTTGCTGTCTTTTGGGGTCGCTTGTGACAGTCAACCCCAAGGCGCCATTTTATCATGACTTGACATTACTTATTGTCAGCACTGCGAAATGAAAAGGTGATCGCTAATCATCTTGAGGGGGCTCTATCCAGTGCACAGGGACCGTGACGATCCCGACGACAACAAGAAGCACAAGAACCCCGATGCTCTGAGTATCGAGGAATTCATAGATGAAATCAGCAAAAAGCTTGAAAGGGGTGACGAAATGATCACGGCGGGAATTGGCAATGCCATTGTCGACAAATGGGACGAGACAATGGGCGCAAAATATGCCGAAATGACAGAGGCTTCCTAGGTTGCCTCAAAGTCAAGAGGGGCACGATAAATTCACCATAATGCATATTCTTAGAGCCCACAGTGTCTTCTACACAAAACCCAGATCCAAACCTGCCAACCAAAGTTCAAGGATACAAGACCCCAAGAGTCGTAAAATCTTCAAACGCAAGGTTTCAGAATATGAGTTGATTCTTGACCGCTTCCATGCCAATGTTCTCACTCCCGAACACCGGATTGATCAGTTCAAAATGGATTATTATCACCATTACTATCATCTCAATCAGGCCAGCTTCCGCCAGAGAACAAAAAATCCACCAAGTTTGGAGGGACACGAGTTATTTGATAGACTTGGAGGCAACAACGAGGATTGACTCGTCAGTATTAAGTAGGGAATGGCAAATCAGAACCAAGAGATGCTACTGTATGCTTTCCAATTGCTTCTTGATTTCAAGTTGAAATGTCATTCGTGGAGAAAGTCGAATACTGTATATGTGTACTCGTCTGCCACACTCTAAAGCTGACTCCCAAGACAGTCTGAATAAGCCCTAACGTTGCATGAACGAAGTCACGACTGGAAACTGTCATAAGTACCCTCCCTTGGACGAATACAGGATCCTTGTGACAGTTTCCAGTCGCAGGTCGCAACAAGGAAGGCCTGCTTAGGGAGGCTATCCACCGAATCATATGAAAGTAGATATGATTTGACCGGCTTGGTCCCGTGTCTAGTGCCAATGGGCAGCATAAGACTCGGACATGTGCTGGACCAAACACGCCCTTGGCCTTGTTTATGTCTACGCAGTCATCTGGAGAAGATGACTCTAATATCGTGTCAAACTTGATAATAAAGACTTGAATACCAAAGGGATGAAGAACTGCTCCTTGAATGCGGTCTTGAAGTGGCCCGGCAACAGATGCCACATTTGACTAAACGATGCTCCTGATGATGTGTAGAAGGAAATCGTAAGAGCAAAACGTGAGTTGCAGAAGAGGCGCGGTAGTCCTTGTTGGTAATGGAGTGGCGGCTCAATGTACTTGTTCGAGGCAACTGAAAAAACAACAACAATATGTTATCTCCGATATACAGAGTACGGTGACATTCATGTCCCAGGGTTTGGAGTTTGGTGACCTTTTGCCTGCAGATACCGAGTACTACCCGTTGCAGGAATCCCAAGAGTTGCCTATGCCCTACATAAGGATATGCCAGTAATTGTAGGCTCCGGGAGGGGAGAGGGGGGGTTTATTATAGCGTGGGAGGGAAATGGAATCCTATATAAGTAGGTACTATATAGATATATACAAAATATATGATCTGCCAGAAAGGTGGGGGCCAAGCTTGGCCGCCAATGAACGGACTGACTTCTCACCCAACGGTTAGACGCTAAGGCCCATAAATATGTTACCCGTGGGGCCCAGGTTTCATTTATTCATCAACCTCATCTGACATCAAGCTGCAACACTGGAAAACGACGACAGACCTGACGTTTCGGAATAAATAATCGCTACAACAAATCACGACGCGAGCCAGTCGGTCAGCGTCGTGCCCACCTATTCTGTACAACTGGGTGGAGGGAAAACAAGTCAACCGCCAGCAGACCATTCCCAAACATGTACTACGGCTTATTGACCTCGTCGTCCAGCTTGACGACGCTACTGTTATGTTCGTTTGGCGCTCTCGCTGCTGCCGCCGCTGCCGCTGACCACGGCGATGCTGCGAGCCACAACTCAGTAAAGCAGGTTGCCATCATTGGTGCGTATATTTTGCCCCATCGTCTTGTTTGCCTGGCCAAGGACGACCAGAAAGGGGCAATATTAAGCAATATTACGTGAGTGTAGGTGCTGGTGCCGCCGGCTCCTCCACGGCTTACCATCTCCGCAAGTATGCCGACGAAGCAGGAGTGGCCGTCAACATCACCTTGTTTGAAAAGACTGAGCGCATTGGCGGTCGCACCCTAACGGTCGACGCTTATGACGACCCAATGCAGCCGGTAGAGCTGGGCGCGTCCATCTTTGTCAACGTCAACCACATCCTTTGGAATGCTGCCCATGACTTCAACCTCCCGCTCATCGACCCGGGTCCCGATGAGGACACCCTTCTGGGCGTTTGGAACGGCGACGAGTTTGTCTTTGAACAGGACTCCACGACGAGCTGGTGGTGGGATGTGGCCAAGCTCGTCTGGAAATATGGCACTGCCCCGTACTACACGAGAAATCTGGTCAAGGAGACCGTCGCCACCTTTCTGAAACTATATGAGGCACCCCATTTCCCCTTCCGCTCACTCACCACAAGAGTATACGAACTGGGCCTGCACAAAATCACCGGCCTCACGGGCCAGCAGTTTCTGGAGGAAAAGGGGCTCTACGGTATGTTTGCACGCCACCTGGTACAGACTGCCACTCGCGTCAACTACGCTTCTAATCTAGCCTACATCCATGGGCTGGGTGCCATGGTATGTACACACAAGTCCAGGAAGGGAACGAATGCATAAAGGGAGACGCACAAAGGCAAAACTGTAATGCTGACCGTGGGCGATGCAGGTGTCCCTCGCAGCAGACGGGGCCAAGGCTGTCGAGGGGGGAAATTGGCAAATCTTTGCACACATGGCTGGCTATGCGAGAGCATACGTCCACCTCAACACCTCGGTCGCGTCCATCGGGTTGGCCAGTCGCAGCGACCCGTCTGCGCCGGCCTCCAAGTATATACTCAAGACGCGGGAGTCGACCAACGCTGCCGGGACCGTAGCCGAGGCTGAGCACATTGAGTTTGATGACGTCGTCGTTGCCACACCCTACCAATTCAGTGGTATTGATCATGACGAGAATCTGCTGCAACAGCCCATTGACGAGATACCATATGTCACTCTCCACGTGACGCTATTTGCCTCGCCTTTCCGCTTCAGCCCAGAGTTCTTCAAGCTGCAGCCAGGCGCGACAGTGCCCACATCGGTGCTGACGACGCTGGCAGATGATGAAACGGCCCGGCCCGGCGCCGAGGCAGCTGGCAAGGCTGGTTTCTTCTCAGCGACGTTGGTGAGGACGGCCATGAACCCGAGCACGCAGCGCCGGGAGAACGTGTACAAGATATTTTCGCCCGACAAGGTGACGCCCGAGTTTCTATCCTCTCTGCTGGGAGTGCGAGTACCTGACACATTCACGGGACCCGTCGATGCCGAGACACGAGCAGAGTTCGACGTGGTAGAAGCGGTTTCGTGGATTCACCCGACCGTGTTTCACCCGTACCCGCAAAAGCTCCCCCGGGTGACCTTCCAAGACCCCATTTTGCGCGAAGGGCTTTACTATACATCGGGCATGGAAAGTTTCATTTCCACAATGGAAACAAGTGCTCTATCGGGAATGAACGTTGCACGGTTGATCATGGATGACTACTTGGGACTGGCTACCAAGCCCAAAGATGATCACATTGCTGCTGCCATGCTGCCAGAGGCGTGGGAGCAAAGAATATTGCAGCAGTAGCGACGCTGACAGCCATAATAAGCAGAAACGGGGATTCATCAAGGTCAACATGTTGTTACGAATGCCCCTCTCTGTCTTGAAATACACGTCTGTATTAATTGTGGTCCATGTACACACATATTTGGTTGTATTTCCACGTCCTAGTGTATGTACCTCTTTAATATGCACGGCATCAATGCTGCAATTGAAAGTAACGTTGTTATGATGTCGCTCTCACAAAAGTACCAGGCCGATTTGAGTGCCGCTGAACTCCATGTCCACTCATAAGCAGGATGAGAGTTTGTGTCAGGGCGGGGGGGGCACAGAGTATGTACACCTTGGCAGCTGGCAGAAGTTGTAGTGTGGACTGCATCTATGCTATGCGTATTTTGTGCCGTGTCATGCAAACCAAGCAAGCTTTATGCAGACTACCCATTCAACCCCCACATGTGCACAGTATGAAGAGGTACCGGGTGACAGGTGACAGGCAGAAAGACACAGAGGTTTGTGGCAAGCTACGTACCGTAGGTACCTAATCACTGTACCGCTGCTGAGCGAACTCATGTACTGTTTGCTGCTGCCACTCAGAAGACCCCCGAAAAAAAAGTTCCGACCCCCCTCCCCTTCCAGAAGAAGGTAGCTTGTGTGTGTGTGAAGACTCGTGCATTTGCAGAGGGCTCTTTGATAATTCGCGATAGCAGCGGCACCAGCAGCAGCAGCAACATCGCATCGCCAGACCTGTCGCCTGCCTCTTTTTTTTCTACAAAACCCCCCCTTTCCTTCCTTTCCCCCCCCTCCCCACCACCTCCTTCTTCTCCTTCTTCTTCTTCCCTGGCATCCCTCCATTTCGATCAAAGATGTCTGCCGCACAGCTTCTCAATCCAAAGGCCGAATCGCGCGTACGTATACAGCTTGCTCAAGACACTCCCAACACCAGCCCAACAGCAACTCACCATGTGTGCTGTTCGGTTCGTTTCATGTTTGGCTAATTGCTCACCTTTCTATTGCAGCGGCGAGGTGAAGCTCTGAAAGTAAACATCAGCGCCGGTGAAGGCCTCCAAGATGTGCTCAAGTCCAACCTGGGCCCCCTAGGCACCATCAAGATGTAGGTGCAGTCGTCCTCTTCTTCTCTCGTGGCAGACCGCCATGATAATCCCACCTGACCCCGACCCCATCGTCCCCTCGACGACATTCCACAAACAGGCAGCCAGGCAGGTAGTCAGTCGGCCGAACCTCGCTAACATATGGGTCTTTCCCCCTTTCCTATAGGCTGGTGGATGGTGCAGGTCAGATCAAGCTCACCAAAGATGGCAACGTCCTCCTTCGCGAGATGCAGATTCAAAACCCCACGGCAGTCATGATTGCAAGAGCGGCAACGGCGCAGGACGACATCTGCGGCGATGGAACCACCTCGGTCGTACTCCTGGTCGGAGAGCTCCTGAAGCAGGCCGACCGATACATTAGCGAAGGCCTGCACCCGAGAATCATTACCGAAGGTTTCGAGATCGCCAAGACCGAGTCCCTCAAGTTCCTCGACTCGTTCAAGCTGCCCAAGGAGGTCGACCGCGAATTGCTCCTCTCCGTCGCCCGCACTTCGCTCTCCACCAAGTTGAACTCGACACTGGCCGGCAAGCTGACCCCCGACATTGTGGACGCCGTCCTGGCCATCTACCAGGCCCCCGCCAAGCCCGACCTGCACATGGTCGAGATCATGAAGATGCAGCACAGGACCGCCTCGGATACCCAGCTCATCCGCGGCCTGGCCCTGGACCACGGCCCCAGACACCCAGACATGCCAAAGCGAGTCGAGAACGCGCACATCCTGACCCTCAACGTCAGTCTGGAGTACGAAAAGTCTGAAATCAACTCGGGCTTCTTCTACTCAAGCGCCGAGCAGCGCGACAAGCTCGTTGAGAGCGAGAGAAGGTTCGTTGACGCCAAGCTCAAGAAGATTGTCGAGCTCAAGAAGGAGGTGTGCGGAAATGATCCCAGCAAGGGCTTTGTCATTGTCAACCAAAAGGGAATCGACCCCCTTTCCCTCGATGTCCTGGCCAAGAACGGTATCTTTGCCCTGCGAAGAGCGAAGCGGAGGAACATGGAGCGCCTGCAGCTCATTTGCGGAGGTGTTGCCCAGAACAGCGTCGAGGATCTGTCGCCCGACGTCCTGGGCTGGGCCGGCCTCGTCTACGAGCAGCAGCTGGGAGAGGAGAAGTACACCTTTATTGAGGATGTCAAGGAGCCCAAGTCGGTGACCCTCATGATCAAGGGTCCTAACCAGCACACCATTACACAAATCTCGGACGCCGTGAGAGACGGTCTGCGGAGTGTATACAACATGATTGTCGATAAGAGCGTCGTGCCCGGTGGTGGTGCCTTCCAGGTTGCCTGCGCAGCTCATCTCAAGAGCGACTCGTTCAAGAAGACGGTCAAGGGCAAGGCAAAGTGGGGTGTGGATGCTTTTGCCGACGCCCTGCTGATTATTCCCAAGACGCTCGCTGCCAACGCCGGCCACGATATTCAGGATGCCCGTAAGTCATTGTCCCTCCCCGATATGAGAGAGAGAGGGGTGAGGTGGAGACAGAGAAGCTCTACCAGGATCTTGTTTTGCTAACATGAAAATGCTCGAAAACAGTTGCGGCACTCCAAGACGAGCATGCCGACGGTGCCGTTGTTGGTCTCGACTTAACCACGGGCGAGCCCATGGACCCTACTCAGGAGGGTGTCTACGATTCATTCAGAGTACTGCGCAACTGCGTTGCCTCTTCCTCGAGTATCGCTTCCAACCTGCTGCTGTGCGACGAGCTGCTCAAGGCACGGCAAATGGGACGGCAGGGTGGTCCGGGTCCTGGCATGGACGGCCCGGAGGAGTAGGAAGAGAAGTAGTGTTTCTAGAAGTAAGAGAGTAGAGGTGAGCACCAAAGAAAAACAAAGATAAAACGCCGCCGTCGTTGCGAGAAGTCAACTGTAACGTAATATTGCACAAAAAGGAGTTGTTGATTTTTCCCTTGATGAGGAGAAACCAAACCCACTTCTATAGACATGAATCAAAACAGCCCTCTTGTGAAGCAAAAGGGGGAGGACATTGGATGTATGTCGGCTATGGCAGTCTTTTTTTTTTTTTTTTTTTTTCTTACCTCGCTTTTCGATTGCGTGAAGGGTGACTGTTGGGGCTGGCCTTTAAAGTATCACGTATCAAAAGACAGCTTGGTGAAATAGATCCATCTTATAATATCAAACTAATCCAGCCCCGATACAGATGTTTCTTGCAGACAAGGGAGTCTGGAGCCTTGGTCCCGACAAGATCTCTTTCTTGGCTTCTGTCCAAGGCCAGTGCTGATATCATCATATATGTGTGGACACTACCAATACGCTCACCAGTCCACCACTATGAGCCCCCCAGCTTCAGGGCAGTTACCAAGGGAACAGACCGAGCAAATATGCATTGCATTTGCGGCCATCTTGGACGATTCCTTAACAAGACACTGGGTCTGGCCCTGGGTTGGTATAGTTGGTGGGGATGGGCCAGTAGATGTTGATGAGAATACCTGGGTCGGTGGCCTAGAATCATTCATGTCAATCGCCTCCACGTGGCTTGTAGAGCGAATTTTCCATTTCACTCACCGAGTAAGCACCAGGGAAAGAAACTCCAGTAAAGGTTTTGCTGCCACTGCCCGTGACCGTCAGCTGCGCGCAAGCCAGGTAGAACTGTGCACCACCCTCCGTTGAGGCGCTGTGCAGGGCAATGTGCTCAACCCTCAAGAGATAGTCGCCGGCTGCGACACACGAGGGGATGGTGACCGAGACAGTGGTCAAGCCGCTCGAGGCAAAGGTAATGGCATCCGTGGTAATGGTTGGGTGTTCTTCGTAGATTTTGAACCCTGAGCACAAAGTTCCAAGATTAGAGAATCTGTCCTGTTGGCACTACCACTACTACTGTTCATGTCTCTCGGCCAAGATACTCACAGACATCACCCTCGCCGGAGAAGGTGGCGGCCGTCTCGCCCGAGGGGACCTTGGCCATATAGAACTGCAATGGGCCCGGGTGCTGGATTGAAGGATCGACGACGAAGCTGACTGTATCTCCGGCCGCGACAGTCTGGGTGCCATTGGCACCCTCGCCCTCGGTCAGCTCGTAGCAGCGGATCTGAGAGTCAGTCACATCCTGTACTGGGCCATGGCTGTAGTGGTTTGTCGTCTCCCGAATATACCTGTGTTGTGCATCGTCTTTGTAAGCAAATATTTGGCTGCAACCATCCAACTGACTGGGGGAAAAAAAAAATCACTCACTCCCACTCGCTAGATGTGACGCCGTCGTACGTCAGATCGGGAAAGGTATCTTTGAGAAAATACGAGTTAGTGGATCATCTCAAGTCACGGTGTTACTTTCTTTGGGGTGGGTATGGTGACGCATTACAGTGACCGTGGGACAACCCAAAGACGAAAAGAGCAACGAGAAACTTCATCGTGTCAGAGGGGGGAAAGGTGCAAGAGTAAATAAGATGTATGAGGAGGGCAATGATCAGCAATGGTAATCGAATCTATCTGGCAACACGATACTATAGATCTCAGCCTTGGCAGACCCGATATCAAGAATAAAACAGTGGATAGAGAGATGGCCGACCCAACTTATAAGAGCGCCACAATCATTCCTGGGCAAACTTCACCAATGATGATTCCTGGTGCGATGGATGGAGCAATCACGATCCCGAGCCCCCCTGAGGGATCCTATGCAGGGCCGTCTATAGAACTCCCGTCCCCCCGGAGGTCACTTGGCATTGTGCCTAGACATACTTGCCTGACTAGGAACAAGACGGAGGGTTTCCAGAAACGGCATTGCTTTCGTCACGTCGGGGGTCCTGGCGTGTAGCGGAGTGTATTGTAGAATTGCCAGAAGAGGAAAGGGGAATTGCTGCTCCACCAATCAGAGATGTGGTCGAGTAACGGCTGGTTGACTGGCTCAAAGTAAAACCGCAACGTCAAAGAAGCGAACCCCTGAAGTGAGACTGTCAAGATTGAAAATGGGACCTCGAATTATCAATACAGAAAAGAGATCATCTTTGAGGTCCCCCGGCCAACTGTCCCAACGAACATTGACTCGTAACCGGCAGAACGAAGACAAAGCCATACTGGATCTGCCCTTTATCTTGTCCAACTCGGCAACCTTGAATACGAAATATGCTTATTACCGTCTCGAGTCGCAATGAATTTTATCCCATGGATACTCTCTCAGAAAGTCTTGTCAAAAGCTTACACGTTGTTGGCACTCTTGTTGTAGCCAAGGATTCGCAAACGTTTGGAAAACACATCCCGTGTCCAGCCACTGCCAACCTGAAGCCACTCACAATTCTGCAAGGGATGGAAAAGAGAAAACCCCCTCTAGTGAAGCAGGGCTTGTCATTTCCTTGGATCTCGCGAGGTCACGTCCCAAGAAAGAGAAGGGTTGCAATAATGAAAACGGACACTCAACCAATACATTGCTTGGAGAATGGCTGTATTTATAAGGTCAAATATGCATAGAACAGCAGCGTCGTGTGTGTGTGATATTCCAGGAGAAAGTACTTGGTCATTGTGACACTGCAACGACATCCTACCTGCCGCTAGGACTGTAGAAATCTTCTATTACCATCATGAGGCCGCGGTTCGATTACAACATATCACTCCATAACGTAGCACTCATGATGTACCTTGGATTTTGCTTCCTCTTCTTCTTCTTCCTTCCATCCTCGACGTTGGCCAGCTTGGTCAGTCAGGACGAGCCAGGGTGGACATGTTCAAATTACAGATAGATGGCCACATGAAGGGGTGGTGCGTGTTGCTCGGACACTAGCACTGCATATCGCCGAGGAGGCATCCCTCGAACACGACCCTCCCGGATCAGTCAAGTCGTTCTCCAGCCAAAGTGGTCAACGTTCCCACGAATCCATTGGCGACACTCCACGCCGGGATAGTACCGTTGGGGGGGGGGGGGGGGGTCCAAGCCATTCAAAGCAAATGCCCCTAGAATTTCCCTCACTGATTCCGAAGTCACAGGAGAGGGCGGACGACTTCAATGCTAAATCATGCAGACGGCAGAGCTCATGCCCGCATTCATCATGTCGCGGAAAACGGTCACGGTAAAAGCCACCTGTGTGCGCCATCACGTGTGATCAGCTCCGGCTCGTAGTAGACTGACTATATCACCGTTGTCCTCACCAGCTTAGCTTTGTATAGACTCCACACATGTCTGGAGGTCGGGACACTCCTCCTGGGCTCAGTCGTGTTGAGATGACGCGTTCCAGCTTACCCCCGGCAATGACGGAGTTGGAGCAACTCATCACCAGGCTACACAGGTAGTGACGGAGTTCCATTCTCCGATGATGTTGGTAACCTTGGGGAGTTCTGTCCCCATCACAGACAGTCACTCGTAAATAATACTGTTTGTCGTGGGCCGAGATTTGGTTCAGCAAGCAGGCAGGACCTGGGACAAGTGCTAATATTTCGTAATTTCATACATCTAGCCAGCTGGTCCAACCATTTTTACATGGTTCATGGGCGGCAGCGCTCGACAGTCCCCATTGAGCCCATAAACTCCTTGCGCAGACCCAGGAAAGGTTTGGGTATCAATCAGATAACAAAAGGCTGGGCAAATTTCTACTGTACAAAGTCATGGTCATATAGCAATGCATTGTCCATCGACTTTCAACTCGCGCCAGGGTTAAACCCGGCAGATCATGGGCGAAAGTGTTTGTTTGCATGGTGGCATCAAAGGCACACGAATGCTGAGAATGTGACCAACCAGAGCTGCCTAGGTTAGTTGTATAGCGTCCACCCACCCGCGCGACTTGAGGGTCCCAACGGCATCAGGGGCCAAAGGGCAGCAGAATGGCAAGGCCATCACAGAACTAGTACGAGGACCCAAGGAAGCCGCCACTATTGACAAACTGAATTTGGTAGTCCCGCAGGCTCGCCCAGTGTTGTAGCTCGTCATCTTCATCCTGCGGTGTCATGGTACCAGGCGCAGTATTGGCGCCAGTGCGCTCCAGCTTGACCAGTATCTCAAGAAACTTGCCCAGGTATTCTTCCGCTTGTTTTGCTACTGGCCCCTTACGCTCTGGAGCATCATTGAGCAGTGTGCTTGCAATCTGCCGGATCTTGTTGACCAGTGAGACCCCATTTGGCTCCATGTTGCGTTGAGTGATGGATGTGAGGACTGTGAGCAAGTTCTTGATGATGGCCTCGCGCTCTTCATACACCATGTTATCCATCTCATCACGCACGTCGCCATTGGTTTTCGCGTCGCCCGTGGCCGCGTGTTCCTGTGCCTTGTGGTTGTCACGGAGATTTAGATAGCGTTCGACAAAATACGAACGGGTGGCCAGCTGAGATGCATAAATGTTGGCTTTCTGGATCTCCAACTGTAACCGCCTTCGTCGGTGAGGATCCTCGGCCAAGGCGTGACGTACGTCATTGGGTGGTTGAGTTGCCGGGAATGCTGGCGGGTAGTACCGCAGGTTTGGGTCATCAGCCACGGCTCCAAGGCCATTCTCGAGCTGCGCCGGATCAATCTTGATCTGGAGCGAGTCAGGCAGCCTCTCCAGATGGGCCTTCGTAGAGGAGAGCGCGTTGCTCAACATGGATTTCTGGGCAGACCATTCAAAAAAGTTGATGCCGTAGCACATGTCAACGCCGACAAGCTCATTCATGGCCATGTACGTGTTTACATTGTGGTTGAAGCCGGTAATGAGTGCCGTGGTACCTTCAGGCTGGGCAAGAATTTGATGTGGATATATGAGCTCGTCGTCAACTTCGACTGGCAAATCAGGGTATGGTTCCTGTGTGGTTGGTGGCGGGAGCGGTATCTCGTTGATGGACGCGCCTAGCTGCGTCATTGAACGAAGCCCAGCCACCATGACCCAAAAGATGCGCTTGCTTATTTGATCCTGGATGTGATTCATTGCCCTGTTGGTGCCGCTCAAAGCGGCTGCTATGTCGGCTACGCTTGAAACAGCGTCTGATCGTCGGTGAGCTAGCAGTTCCCGACAGAAGGTCATGGTTTCAGCCATGAATCTCTTGCATGTCTTCCATTGCAAGGTATAGGCAGCTGATAGAGCTAGGAAGTAGCTTGTAGCTGCGTCGTCGACAGTCATGTCTTCCTTGGCCATGTAGGTCGATCCGCGGGCGTCCATTGCCACGGCGCGACAGCGATCTATCATGGTTATGGCCGTCGGAAAGAGGTTGGTGCTATGCGTCGCCTTGAGATGTGCACGAGCACTTCGTGGAAAAGATGCTACGAGAACGCCTATCATACTGGCAAGCAGGGCAAGGAACTCGGTGCTCGTCCTATCGGCCCGAGCATTGAAAGCTGCCCGGAAGGTCGGCTCATGAGGAAAGGGCATGAGAGGATGGATGTAGGTGAAGAAGTCATCTACCAAGAGAGTCAAGACTGGCCAAGGGGCAATGACCTCGGCATCAAGGACATTGGCCTGGCCGCCGAGGATGACCCGGGCATCGGTGATGTTCTGAACCGGTGAAAGTCCTTCCATTCTGGCTCGTTTGGCCGCCTTGGCCGCCTCTGCATGTTTGTTCGGGGGGCCGCGCCGCTTCATCTCTCTCGAAAAGGTGCATTCGACGTTCAAGTCCTTGCACGGCTTGCATGGCGGACCACTCTCGTCACACTACATATAGATAGCCACGGAAATTAGCCTTGACGGATCTTAAAACATGCCGCGAAGGACGGAATGATTCTCACCTTTACTTTGCGCGAACTGCACATGTCACAAGCCCGGCGAAGTCTTGTCACCTTTTGGGCAGCCTGCTGTGGCGGCGGCGGCGGTTGTTGTTGTTGCTGTTGCTGCAGCAGCGGCGGGTGTGGTGGCATCTGGTGAGGTGGTTGCTGAGGCTGAGGTTGCGGCTGCGGTTGCAATGGAGTAGGGCTCATGGAGGCGCCATTGTGTACAGACTGCTGGGGAGTCATGGGAGTATACGGAGCGACCTCGGCAACATGCATTGAAGCGGACTGGGCATACTGCTGAGCCAGAGGACTCGGGGCGACGGCGGTAGCAGTCGCAGCCTCGAGAGCCTGTAGTCCATGATGGGCAACAGCAGTGGCGGCAACCGAAAGGCCGTCGTCATACTGGAGAGAGGTGGGAAGTTGGTGATTGTCGCTTTGCGAGGACGATTCTGGCGGCGGTGCAGCGTGAGCCTGGTGCTGATCGTGAGTCGGCGGCGTTTGCTGCTGCTCAGAGTGGTGTTGATCGGGGTAGTGGTGAGGATGAGGATGATGGTGATGAGGTTGTGGATTCTGCGGCGACGGAGGCTGAGGTCTGGATCCAGGTCCAGTCCCAGTTGCAGTATCAGCTTCGGGGCCAGCTACGACTCCAGGTCCAGTGATGATTGTATTTCCAGATTCCGATCTTGATTCCGATCCAGGTTCAGCAGCTTGAACTTGTGTTGTTGTTGTTGTTGTTGCTGCTGCTGCATCACCTTCTGCGGCGACGGCAGCGGCGGCGGCGGCAGCAGCAGCGACCTGAGCGTGGGCGTGAGCTTCGTGTTCATGAACGGCGGCAACAGCCTCAGCCAAGGCCGGGTAGGCTGAAGGGTCTGTCGAATCGGCAGACATGATCCTCGCTCGATAGAGCCGAACCACTCGAGATCGGATCGCCGGTGTTTTACCGCGAAGTCTGGCATTCGAGGTGAGCGCGCGGGCGGTTGAGCTTCGCTTCAGAGCCGTAATGTGGGTGGTCAATTGGGGGCGCAGGCGCGTGTCGCGCGACTCCTCCTTCCTTCAGCTTGGGGGGGTTTATTGGGACAGTGGGACACCAACACAAATTGAGCAAGCTCCGCCGCTATTCTAGTGTTTTGGTGGGGAAAGAACCAAACAAACATGACAGTATTCAATACACATGTGCAGGTATGTAAGTAAGTACATTAGTAGCAAGTAGGCGAAGTATCATCTTACATTCACCACTTACATACTCTGTATTGTCTTTCCTCCATGTTTCTCATTCGACTACTTGTTCTGCTTGCATAGTGCTTCCATCTGAATTTTTGCATTTCTCTCTCTTGACTGTTGCTATAGCCGAGGCATCAATATGCTTCAGTGGGACAATGGTCAACGAATGAGTAGGAGTAGAGTAAAATTAAATCATGGTCAATGAAGTTGAAATGTTATTACAGCTGCAGATTGAGGGAAAAAAAAAAGAGAAAAAAAAATAGGTAAACTCGGTGCGATATACATACTTATTTCCTTGACTACACAAGACTTGGATATGGAATTACTAGAAAGATGGCCCCGGGCCCCGATTGCGGGTCGGGATTGCTGACGTTTAATTCTCACTGACTTTACTCACTTACCCTGAGCTGCCGCCACTATCGAATTGTTAATGTCTACGAAACGACATTATTCCAAATTTATTCCCCCCCTCCCTCCCCTGAAAACAAAGATTTATACACCCGATGGCCAGGACCATGGTGCTCTACAGCCATTGCACAGGATTGGCTCGGACTGTGCAAAGGCACGGGTGCCAACGGAAATATAAGGCTCCTGACTCTGCCTCGAGTACTGCTGAATCTATACAAATAGAAATATAAATATAAACATTCGTTCATATAACTCTTTTTCACGAATTTCATTATATCTGTTCCACATCAAATAGCGCCACCGTGCCCGATATTCCTAGAGGAACACTCCTTGATCTCAAAGGCAACACCTACTTCATAAATGGTTCACGAATACGCTCAAGACTTGGGCTGGCTGGCATAGAGTGATCCTTGCGGTGGGCATGAGTATTAGTAATTGAAAAGCAGAGGAACAAACGTGACTTATATGAGCACAGTCGTTGCATCTCGGGTTGCTAAAAACAGAACTGCAGTGGCATTTCATAGCCATCACTTGCTCGAAACCCTTGCATGGGAACAAAGACGAGGTGGTATCCGCTGAGCGCAAATTCGCGTCTCTGAAATCTACGGTAGCTTATGGGTACGGAAAAGAGAAGAAAAGTTGAATCGACACGTCAAATTTCGAGCCACGATGTTGGAGCCTTTTAGTCATTTCGTACCCTCGCTTGACAACCAGTTTCTAGCAAGCAATATCGCACCTCGATCAGCAGCTCGTAGCCCCATCGCCCGTGAAGGTACCTGGCTGGTACATGTTCGCGGCGTCGTCGAGGCACTCGGCTAAGATGAAGGTCAGCTATGGCTAGCAACAACGACCCAGGACGCCAAGGGCACTTACCGACAGTTACAATCTTGAGATTGTTGCTCTTGGCCCAATTGATGAGCCACGGCACCAGTGTATTGACCGTTGAATCATAAGTCTCGTGCATGAGCGGGATATGACCATTGCCGCTGGCCCCTGCCTGTGTGAATTTCTGCTCGCTCTGCTGAGCAGTTTGGTGATTCCAGTCACCGGCGTCGATGTCGTCCGTAATCACAGAATATCCCATCTGGCTCATGACTGACAGCATGTTGCTGCTTGTTGCCAGGTTTGGAGGACGCATGTAGGCTGGCTTCTTGCCGAATATGTTGACAAATGCCTGCTCGACCTTGGTCATTTCGGATTGGATCTGCGAGGTGCCAAGATTGGCAAGATTTGCATGAGTCCTTTGGTAAGGATATGGTTAGTAGGACATTGGCACTCTTGTGTAATCATGACATACCACGTATGTGAAGAAACCTGGTGGCCGTTGTCATATGCTTTCTTTACGGCGGCTCTCTGGTTATAGATACACCCTGGTATTTTGTTTAGAAGAAAATGACAGACAAAATAGCCCGAGTAGATATCTCTCGCTCACCATAAAGGGTACCTGTAAAGAAGAAGGTACCTTTTGCCCCGGCAGCATCCAATTTGTCAACCAAGGCCGATGTGTCTAGAAAACGACCAATAATGTAAGCAGCAGAGACCAAGAGAAACCCAGACATGTGACATACAAGTATATGGACCGTCGTCAAAGGCTAGAGCCAGCACTCCAGGCTTTGAGCATTTTGTAATTACTGTTCCTGTTGTGTGGGCACGGCGGATGAGGTCGATTGGTCCAGGAACTGCTACAGCCGACACACTGATTGCCACAGCAAGCGGCAAGAGGAGGGACGTTAAATGCATCTGAGAGATTGTTCCGAGAGATTGTTCCGATGTCAACGGTCACCATGTAGTTGATTGAGAAGACAAATACGTAGGTAGTACTCTACGGCGTGGTGTTGAGAGAATCTCAGTCAGAGTGATATATAGAGCAGAGGCGCGGCTTGTAGTTCAGCGGAGATAGAGTGGTTATTTAGGAAGGAGGGGAAAGAAAGAAAAGAAAAGAGAGAGAGAGAAAAAAAAAAAAAAAAAAAGGAATAAAGCGGTTGTGGCTGCGGCAAGTAGAGTGCCAAGCAGCGCGACCCATTGAGCCTCTTCTCCGGAACAAGTGGTTTTGATTATTGGCCAAGTGAATCTATGTTGCTATACCAGACGGTTCTTTTTCGACAGGAAAATGCTCGATATGGCTAGTCCTGGCCATGGAGTGAATAGTATCTACATAGCTGCACTGCTTTTAGCCGGGATGGAATCTGAAGAAGGCCTCCTCCTTCAACATCACAGGTGACCAAATTGGGAACGGAACCGGATCACTGAGATAGGCAACGGCGAATGGGCCGAACATGGCCAGCTGTCAAGGTAAAATGCTCAATACTATTCACACTCATCTTCAGCCACGACAGTAGAGTTGTCGTAGCATCTCGTAATATGAGGGTATAAAATTTGGCAACCAGTTGTTGTGGGGGACGTTGGGTGGGTTTCGGGTTATGGCTAGGCTACATGTGTGCAGTCTGGGTTAAGGTTAGCGAGTGGCTGTTAAATCACAAATGCATAACTGCCTGGTATCTAAATACCTATAAGCTTAAGCACAGATATTGCGAAGCACTTGGGGACTTGCAGAGTACCTAGTAATATTGTAAGAGAGTAGAAGATAGGATATGCTTATTAATACGTGTACAAGACAAATAATCAGAAATAATAATTGATTCTTTAGTTTTTTTTTCCTCAATAAAGGATAATATGTACCAATGAAGATAGGCGCATTGCTGTAGCCTGGGTTGAGCATGGCCGCCCTGGAATGTCTACAGATAAAGAAAACGTGTATTTGGTAAAATAATTGGCATTGGTAGCCTGCGCCAGGGAGAATTGTACATATCCTTCGGTCATCGTAACTCCTAGTATAAGCTCAATGTACACATGGGAACACAAGGCAAATGGCCGTATCCCAGCTACAGTATGTCTGTTCTGCCCCTAGAACCGCCCTCTTGCGAGGAATTTATTTGGAATATCGATATGTTTCGCCCTCAAGTATTCACAGCTTGGACATTGTCAGTCAATTCCTAGCGGCTTTGGCGTTGAAAGGAGAAGAACTTACAGATTCTTGCCGAGGGTATCCATGTCGGAAGTAGAGTTGAATCCACGGTCAATATGGTCCCTCAACAGAAAGTGAACTGCCCGAATGCCAGGAATTTCAAATCGCTCAATCTTTGCCCCCCTATTCGTGCCGTCGAGGAGCTGTGCTATCTTATCCATGGTAAGGATGCTTCTGAGCCAGTCCCACTCATCGTCGTGGCGAACGTAAAAACCCACGTTGGCATCGCTCGCCTTGTCTCCTGATCTCCCCCCGACAATCCAGCCAAGCGGCCCGCGGGTGGTTGGTCCGAAACTGGAGAGAGCCACCGGATCCGGGGTCTCGTAGCTCTTCTGATCCCTCGGATAGTCTGATCTGACATTATCCTGCACTGGAATGTCGATGATCTCTCCGGACCACATCAAGATGGCCTGGTGTTTGAGGATTGACTGAGGAATCAAGGTGACAAAGTATTCATAAAACTCCCTGCCCTGGGACTGTCTCTGGTCATTTCCCAGTGTAGCACCGGGGCAGCTTTGTAGAAAGTTCTCCATGCACCACCTGTTGAATCCGGGGACATCGAGTGTGAACTTGTCAACCAATTCCTTTCTCTTGGTTTGAACAAAGACGCGCAAGTCGACGCTGGCTACGTCTTGGTTCTTGGGGTTTTCTGGGCAGTATCCTAGCAACTGAAACTCCAGACAGGTGAGATCCTTGATGGCATCGCCGATCGAGTAACGAATCTGGCGTTCTGTCCATTCTGCCTTGGCCTCAAGGTCCAGACCGCAGATGTAGACATGGAACTCGGCCTGATAGCCTCCCCAAGCTGTGATGCCAACCTTGGTAGTTGCTGGAGCTGGCAGACCTTTCACTCCACTCACCAAGACTCTATCCTTTCCAAGCTGTTTCATCACAACACCTTCCAGGTTTGCCGTAACATCGGAGCCGTAGTAGAGCGGTCCCTGGATCTCATAGAGAAGTTGCGACGAAACGGTGCCAACGGATATCTGATCAACAATATTTTGTCAGCATGTACAGCGGTTAGAAGATGTATGAAAGATGATTCGTATACCAACCTCTCCGCCGGTATTGGCCTCCTTGGTAAGTATACAGCTGCCATCGGCATGTATCTCGGCAATGGGAAAGCCGAGGTTCTCGCATCCCTCCATGAGGCTCTTGAAGCCCGAATAGTAGCCACCCGTGACATAAGCAGAGCACTCGATCAAGTGTCCGCACACCAGGGAGCCTGCAATCTGATCGATATCTGTCTCTCTATCCCAGCCATGCCACCACATTGCAGCACCAATGGTGGGAGCCGCGTCGGCAACGCGGCCTGCAATCACAATATCGGCACCTCGCTTGAGGGCCTCGGCGACACCAGATCCGCCCATATAGCATCTTCAGGTAGAGTCAGTGTACCATCATCCATGGCGGGCGAGATGGAACAAAAGCTTACTGAGCGGCAACAATGTCATGACCCCACTCCTTGAGAGGCTTGCCATTCATCAGACTAGGGAAGACCTCCCCTTCGGCATACAGTTTCTTCACCGTGTCTGTCACCTCATCTCCGGCAACCCAAGCAACCTTTAGACCGAGGCCCTGTTTCTTGACCTCCTGGTCGACTAGCTGAGCTAGAAGCTCCGTGTCGCTGGCTCCCGCATTCACAGCGACCTTGATACCAAACTGCTGACAGTAAGGAAGGGCTGGCGAAAGATTGTCGAGAAAGGTTGGGTCAAAGAGGCCCTGCGCTGCTTCTGTCAGCTTTCCCTCTCTCTTGAGCTGCTCGTTCCTTTGCTTCTCGGCGCCGTGTAGTGTCATTGTACACTCCGAGAGCCAGTCTCCAATGATGCAGTCCACAGCGCCACTCTTTGCTAGATCATGTATGGATCTTTGGCGATCTGAGAAGCCACCGGAGCAGCCCCCGATCCGGATTGGTTGTTTTACTGCAGGCATGGTGATATTGGAGCGGCCACTGTCTGTGAATCTATGAGTTGGGGTATAATTCTCTTGTATCTATAGCAAAGTCTGCGTGGGTGGGACCCCGGTGCAAAATATTGTACATTTATTTAAGTAGAACTAGGTATTTCAATCAACATTCAATCTGATGTACATGATGTCAAAGCCTCAGAACGGTGAATGTTTTCCTTGGTAGGGTCAAGGCTGGCTATTGATACTCGGGCATGTCGGTTATGCTCCGCATCATGACCAGTCGATCCGCTGGCGGCCCGTGTTGACAACCTTTTAAGAAGGAGCATGATTGCCTGTCAGTCGTCTCTACCTTGGCTGGAAAGGGCCTAGAAATTGAGAATCCCTGTGAAGTCGCACTTTCGAGTCTTCATCCGAGACACAAGGTTGGCTAGACAAGACCGCCCCGCAGCACGACTTCCGTGTTACATGTCTGGAACTTCGGAAATGCATATCCATACACACACACACACCGCGACACAAAACCTGTTACAACAGTGACCAACCACTTTTCGGCAAGTGTCATATGGTGTCTAATTCCAACGAACAACATGAAATTACAGAGGTATAGTTGAACTCATGACGAATATAAAACTCGTGTCTATCTAGATCAAAATGAAATTGCTCTCATAAATCACCTCTGAAACGTGCTCTGATGGATTTGACCGTCTGGAGCGATCCATGCAGACGAACCTCCTTGGCCATTTCTCACGTGTGGGTTGGTCGATTGACGAAAACGCGAAAGTTTTGGCGTGCAAGCAGTTCGTACTATACGAGCACAATTCATTGGCTGGGGATTGAAGATATAGTCTCAACCTGGATAGCCATTGTGTCTTGCATAAGAAAACCATTCATCTGAAGTATGAATTCGGGAGTCTACAATTGTATTGACTCACTTCAGTGTGTCGTTCATATATCGGCTTCGGCTCTGAGAATTTTGGATTAACAGCGCGAAATAGCCTGATGGGTAAAATAAACACAAAATACCTCCATCATCACCACGCACAGTAGTACCCAGTTCTTGACCGAGTTAGATCGCCCGTTAACCTAGGTGCTCAAAATCATCTATTTCGCTTGCTTATCTGATCGCTCCAATCTGAAGAGGGTAAGAATATACTTTGAAAGTAAGAACGATTGTAGCACAAACTTAGGATGTGAAAACCACGGGTATCAATATCATCCACCTGACGTCCAAGTCCATTACCAATATCAATTCCACGCGTCGCCAAATATCAGCCCGTAGATCTTTCACCTGGTGCTATTTCATGCAGTACAGATGAATCTTGCGGGAAAGAAACCAATGATAACCATCCTCCCCCAACCCCCCTCAACTCAACATCCGTGGGCGCACACACAGAGAGTGACCTCTATCTTTGCCCAACGGACTTGCATGGTTTACTATCTTCATTAAAATCCCACGTCCCTCGCCATCTGCCAAACCCATCATCTCACCACAGAATGAAGGGTATCTTGAGGTCGTTCAGTCGTCAACAAGGAAAGACTTCAGCAGTATGCCAAAAGAGCACATCTAAGAGCCAACAAAATTTCCATCGTCCCGCCAAAATAACAGAGCCGCAACTGAATGCAAAAGAAAATTCGTGAGGAGAGATATATCTGTTCGATGAAGCGAATGTGGATGGTAAGCATTTCGAGAGCCCAGCCTTGTAAATGCAGCCCCAAACGCCATCGCATTGAAACATGAAAAGAAAAGGGGTAAAGAAAAAGGGAAAAAACCAAGAAACAAAAAAAAAACAGGAACAAAGGTATCGTAAATGAAGCACATCAATGCAAAATATCGTCGTAAACGGGATGTTTCGTCGTTTGTGCGAGAGGTCGTGGTATCGTTATTGGCCATTGAAGGAGGAAGCCACGAATGTACAGATCATGGCGTCAATATACCATCATTTGTGGCGTCGTATGTCGTGCGTTTTGCAAATGGTCGTCTTTCCCTCCCCTCCCCTTCTCCCGAATGTTAAGGTCTGTGTCTTGACCAATTTCTTGTTGTGCTCTCCTTTTGCCAACTTTCCCCGCCCCCCTGGCCCTCTTTTTTGATTCAAACGTTTTCTTCTTCTTCTACTTCTTCTTCTCCCGACCCAACGAGATCGTCAAGGATACGCCATGCTCAAGGGGGTTGACCATCTAGTATGCTGGGGTTGCGCTGTTCTCGCTCGTCGCAACCGCAACTAGGGCCTGCAAGCGCAGCATATTGTCTCTGTCTCCGGCAGCCTCAGCCGATGGAGGATGCGGAGGTGGAGGTTGATTTCTGGCGGGAAAGCCGGAGAAATGGCTGATATTGGGATGCACCATCCTCTCCACCCTAGCTATTTTTTCGGGCCGCGCCTCGCCGTGCGCGTTGACAGGCCCGTGATACCAGCCGTGGCGTTTATTGCCGCTCGAATGTGTAATCATTGGGGCCGACATAGTATGCTGGTGAAAGCTGCGGGGTGCTGGTGCTGGTGCTGGTGCCGATATGCTCGGGGCGCTGGTTACAATCACCTGATCGTTGAACCTAACAGTTGGTGGGTTCAGCCTGACACGGTTTGCCTCGGCGTCAACTGCCTGCTGAACTTCCTGAGCCCATGTTCCCGCACTGTCCCGTGGGGGTGTTGTGTTGGAGGTGAGATCAAGTCGGGTCAGTCCACGATGAAGCCCCATGTCCCAGTTCACAGTTGAAGGTCTATCCTCGGCGACGTGCTCTTGCACGGGCTGCAGGGTTGACTGGTGTGGTGTGTCTGAGTCGATCACCATGGGCGACGGCATGCGCCTGTGAGGAGAGGCTGTCCGATGAGGCAGCGGGTCAAACGATTCAATGCCAGGCAGTCGCACGTTATTGCTCTGAGACGTCGGGTCGGCAATCGGTAGCGGGCCTGGCTGGAACTGTGACGGCGTTATGACGTTGCTGAGGCGGCTGCTCGCGGTGGTTGCGGCAAAGTTGCTGGAATCGGGATGCCAGGTTCGGCGGCGCCATGCATCATCGGCAGCACTAGCGATGGAGTCGCGGCGAGAGAATATCGACGAAGTCGGGGAAGCCATGACACTGATCGAAGGAGAGAGCGTCCCCATGGAGCCGTTGACATGGCCGGGGCCGAAGAGCGGGCGCCCAGTCGGTGGTCCGTGGCCGTGAGGCGACTGGAAAGGGTTGCCGCCGGTAGAGGGAACGCTGAGTCGGCGGCCCGGAGTGCGCGAACCCGGAGCATACATGCTGTGGGCACGCGAATGCGACGTAGTCGGCGATGCAATGCCCGAGCCCCATTTGGGACTATTCTGGCCCGTCGAAAAGGTTGCCGATGTCGGTGTGCTGAAGTCGCTTGGAGAGACGGGGCGGTATGAATATTGACTGTCGGCTGTACTCCCATAGGACTCGAATGATAGTCTCGACCGAGGATCAGCCATGACGAGCGGAGGCGGGCGCCGCCGGATATCATCGCGCGCGCTGCTGAAATTCGAGCTGATGGAACCGATGCTGGACGTTGACAACGATTTGGCATGACCGCGGACGCCTCCGCCCACACTGCTAGCCGTCGATGCACGTGCCCGCCCGGGCTGGCGAACTCTATCGGTCCTGATTTGGCGTTGGAACCTTGTACCTGTGGCCGCAAGAGAGTCCATTGGAATGTCTTCATTGACATGAACGGTCTGCGCATGCTGACGCAGATTGTCTAACCGGGAGAAGCGACGAGAGCAGTGACACTGAAATGGACGTTCTCCTGTATGTTTCCTAGACTCAAGTCAGTCGTGTCGTCGTCATCAAGAAGTCACGACGGATGTGGTTCGAATCAAAATACCTTATATGCCGAGCCAGATGCTCACTTCGAGTAAAGCTAAGATTACACGGAGGATATTCTGTGCAATAGAATCTTTGCGACTTTTTCTTTTTATTCGACTTGGTCCCGTCGGCGTTTACGCTTTCGTCGTCGGAACCATCGTCGTTCCCTTCTGCATCCGAGTCCTCCATGCCTATATCTTCCGAATCTCCCCTGGACTTCTTGGAGCGCTGGGAGTCCTCCCGGTGCGGAACGCCGTCTTCTTCAATACTTTCGGGTATCTGCACGGCTTGAGGAAAGGGCGAAGTTGGCAGCGGCCGTTGTTGACTCTGGCTAAAGGTGGCTCTGGTCGGTGTCGGCGTCGTTGGCGATGGGGCCCTCTGTTCCTCCTTGTGAACCTCGATGTTGACCGGCCTAAATGTCGCGGCCATCTTGAGATTAATTGTCTCTGTGAGCAGCGATGGACAAATGCAGTGGCGACGGCAAATATGATGAAGGCGTTGCTCGCTATCAACAGATTGAGTAAGCCCATAGTCTTTGACCAAACTTCATGTACAGCGACAAGAGGTTATTCAAAGCTTACCAATAACAGCAGCGGTCGAGCCGTGAGGGAGTTTGGTGATACGGAGACGAGGAAGCAGGCGTACCGGATCAACTCATTCGAATGCTAATCCCATAAAAGCGCGACTATGATTGCGCTTGGGTGGGATATGATAGGAAAAAGGTAAAACCCCAAGTGCTGATGATGGGCGACGATATTGTGCCCCGAAAACCTGCGGCGAGGTGCAATCCGATCGGTCTCAGTCAGTCGATCAATCAATCAGCCAGTTCACCCACTTGGCCGAGAGGCGCAGGCTGAGTGAGGTCAAGCCAGGTCAGGTCAGTCAGGTCAAGCCGGCTGCGACAAGGGCCTGCTTGCTTGGAGACAGAGGGGTGGCGGTTAGGCTTTGGCAGGCAGTGCAGCGGTGCCACGGCTGGTGAGAGGACAGAATGACAAGAGAGACAGACAAGTCTTGGGTAGTCCGCTAATAGTCCTATTCCGTGCAATAGGACAGGATCCTTGATAGGGACTGAAAAAAGAAATGAAAAAAAAAAAAGAGCAAAAAGAAACCCGACCGGAAATGTACAGAGCGAGAGTCGAATCACACTTTCTTCTTCTTCTTCTTCTTCTCTCGTTCCTGGTCCCTTTCCTTTCTAAGACGGTCAACCGGACATGAGTGTTTTGGTTCGTTGACAGACCCTGATCATGTTCCGAGAGACCAACCACCGAATGGACTGGGTCCAGAAGCGGAAGCCGGGTCGATCGCAGGTTGCAGATAGCAGTAATGACGACAAGCCAGTAGCGTGCAGCGATTGTGACTAGCACAATAGCCGGATTGCTCGGGATGACGAAGCCGATTTATTTTCTCGAATAGAAGTCTTTGTTTGAAACTCCGCAACGAGAGGCGGAGAGACGTTCTTGGTGGCTACTACGTCTGTCTGGAGAGGCTATAACAACAGCCTGACAGGAAGAGGGAAGAGGTGGCGACGAGGGCAATGATGGGAGAATGGCAAAGAGTTTAGAAAGTGAGTGGAAAAAAAAAAGTTCACTTCCCGGGACAGTCAAAACCCGCTGATGGAGCACACGGATGGAGCCACTCAGCCAGGGCGCAAGGGTGAAGTGAGGAACAGCGAGGGCTAGGTCTACATTACCTAGCTCGCTGGGTCACCCTCCCTGTGCCAAAAGAATGGGGAATGGTTGGGATTGTTAATGGAGGGGGGAAAACTGATGGATGGAGCCTACGATGAGCAGTGGGATGGGATGGATTGTCAATGATGATGACTTCTGGCTTGTCCTTGGGGACTTTGGGCCTGGCTTAGCTGAGGTAAATGTACGCCGTAGAGGGACCAGGCCGCGGGAGCAGCGAGTTCAAGGTACTACTATATACATCAACTATTCTCTTCGTTCATGCATGTATGTTAATGTACCTCGACGCTCTCTTGACAGGGGCTTGCTTGCACTGCTGGGCAGGAGCGAGGACGAATTGATTGATCGAATCAATTCGAGTGGTAGTGCTGTGTACTGTGTATGCTGTGCTTGCTTGCGCGCCTGGGCGGGTGGAGAAGAATAGTACATGTACAATCACGGCAATGCCTTGCGCACTAGATAGGTACACCATCAACAACGACGACGACGACGTCGACGACGTCGTCGACGATAAGCTTTCGAAACTTGACTTCCCGACAGGCCCAGCGCGGGTTTCTCATGTGTGCCTGACTGACAAAAAGTCAGACCTCTCCCCCACAGAGTGGATGATAGATACATTCTAGTATCTCAGATGTCATTTTGTTCCTCAGTTGACCTAGGTACATTATTTACCTTTTCTTCCATGTCTTCAACCACCGGACAAATGGGCGAGTAGGAGGCAAACACACTAGACATAGTAGACAGATCAATGGATGTATACGGAATAATGAGGCATCGTTGGATGGAGACACTTGACCTCTCTCGGGATTGCATGTACCTGACCTCACTTTGCCTCATGTAGGTACATGCCATAGGCCTGTCTCTCCAGCTGAGTGAGATCGGTATGTACGTACGCGACTCAAGCATCGATGCTCTCCGTCTCTCTCGTCTTAGAGGAGTGGGAAAAAGTAATACATATACATTAGATCAATCATTCAGCTGTCTGGAGTTTGCCTCACCTCTGTAAATATACTATGTACATTCACACAAAGTTAAAAAGGAACTTCCCCAGAGCGCGCAAGCATTGAACTGCTTGAAAACGTTGGAAAGAATTGTACATAACTCAGGCGCACATGGGTTTGCCCGCCCGCCCGCCTGCCGAATGGTGTTATAAACTTTGGGACCGAGGCCATCCAGAAAGTCTAATCATAGTTTTATACTTGACAATGATTTATATTCAAAATCAGCGCCGTTCGTTCAATAGTCCGTCTGGTGCTTTTAATGCTCTCTTTTCATTTTGATACATAGCACAGCCCTGAGTGAATATAATCCCGTGTAGGTTCTAGGGCATGCAGAATTACTTAGCAGCCTACGGTTGAGCCTCATCGAGGGGCTGATTGCCGCCAAATCCATCTAGGTACAAACAATGGCATTGCGAGGCGCTTGTTACTTTCTGCCTTGCATTTGGCCTGATGATGGCTCGCTGTGCCACGCGTGTGATGGGGCCATCAAGTAATGCAGACAGCAGCACCCTTTATCCACGAATCTCCTCATAATTGCATTACGCTGCGGTGGCTGGTTATGTACAAGTAAAAACAAAAGGCTGGATTCATATGGGTGCAACAAACTGGTGATTGTAATGGTCGGGGGTCTCTCGGTCAACACATACATACCTACATGCGCAACATAAATACCTACCTCAGAAGCTCTCTGCTTCTCTTTTTTTGAGCACTGGGACAATACAAGAGGCTGGCTTTGGCTTTGCTAAGTAGATGGATGGCTGGTCCTCGCTGTTGGGGGGCACCCTACAACAAAAAGACAACCACATCACAAAAACACACACACACACACACACACACACACACACACACTACACAACGCGCCATACTGGGGCATCAACAGTTGTACAGAGTAATCATGCCTCCCCATTTAGCTACCTACCTACCTACCTACCTTGCACTGCTGCAGGACCGGCGACACACAGTATGCATCACACACGC